ATCCTCCTTTCCTTTCCTCTCGTTCCTGCTTTCCTCCTTCCTCCTTCCTCCTCCTCTCCTTTCCCTCCTTCCGTCCTCTTTCCTTCCCTCCTCCTCCTTCTTTCCTCCTTTCCTTCCTCCTCTCCCGTTCCCTCCTTTCCTTCCTCCTCCTCCGTTCCTCCTTTCCTCTCCTTCCTCCGTTCCTCCGCTTTCCTCCTCTTTTCCCTCCTTCTTCGTTCCCTCCTCCTCCTCCGTTCCTCCTTTCCTTCCTCCTCCTCCGTTCCTCTTCCCTCGTTCCGCCTTCCTTTTTTCTAGTTCCCTCCTCCTTTCGACCCTGCCTTCCTCCTTCGTTCCTCCTTTCCTTCCTCTCCTTCCTTCGTTCCTTCCTTCCCTCCCCTTCCTCCTTTCCTTCCTCCTTCCTTTCCTCCTTCCTTTCCTCCCTCCCTTCCCTCTCCTCCTTCCTCCCTTTCCTTCCTTCCTTTCTCCTCCTCCTTCGTTCCTTTTTCCTTCCTCCTCCTCCTCCTTTCCTTTCCTCCTCTTTCCTCCCTTCTTCCTCCTCTCTTTCCTTCCTCCTCCTCCTCCGTATCGACTAGAAAGCCGAGATAATCCTCATGCAGTGTCTCTTCTTGTCGGAAATCCCCAGAGATCGTTATAAATCGACTAATGGATCCTCTTATTATTTTTTTTCTTCATTTCTTCCGTCCTTCCGTCGTTCTCTCTCTCCTCTCTTCGTCTCTTCTCTGTCTGTCTGTCTGTCTCTCTTCTCGGCTCGCTCTCTCGCTTCTCTCTTTCTCTCTTCTCTCTCTCTTCTCTCGCTCTCTCTCTTTCGCTCACTCTCTCTCTCTCTCTCTCCTCTCTCTCTCTCTCTCTCTCTCTCTCTCTCTCTCTCTCTCTCTCTCTCTCTCCTCTCTCTCTCTCTCTCTCTCTCTCTCTCTCTCTCTCTTTCTCTTTCTCTCCTCTCGCTCTCTCTCTCTCTCTATTCGCTCTTTCTCTCTCTCTCCCTCTCTCCCTCTACTCTCTCTCTCTCTCTCTCTCTCTCTCTCTCTCTCTCTCTCTCTCTCTCTCTCTCTCTCTCTCTCTCTCTCTCTCTCTCTCTCTCTCTCTCTCTCTCTCTCTCTCTCTCTCTCTCTCATTTATTTATTTCACTTATTCGTTTTATTTATCTCCCTCTTTCTCTTTCTGTCTCTCTTTCTCCCTGACGATAATGATAATAGTGTCAGAGATGACATAGTAGTAAAGATTATGATCAGGAGAGAGAGGAAAGAGGAGAGAGAGAGAGAGAGAGAGAGAGAGAGAGAGAAGAGAGAGAGATGAGAGAGAGAGAAGGAGAGAAGAGAGAGAGAGAGAGAGAGAGAGAGAGAGACGAGAGAGAAAGAAAGAGAGACCGTTTCATCCCTGCCATTATCAGAATTAATATCATCATGGTCGTTATTATCATTATAGTTATTGTTTAATGGCCATCACTGATATCATTACCATTACCATTACCTATTATTTATTACATAATGCCAGGCGTAGAAAAGCCATCTTATGCGAAGTAAATTTATGTATTGGAATGTGTAAGTTAATTTGCATTTTTTGTTCATCGGAATTAAATATATTAACTTCAGTCACTATCCGTTGTTTCTTTAAAACTGATGAATGAATAGAATGAAAATGTTGTTATGGAAATGGTTATTATATCTACCTATACTTAGTTGTTGTTTTTTTTCAATCGGGTATTAACTTATGTTGCTGATAATTGATGACAGATTGATAATCATCTAATAATTGGTGAATTGGTGACGGTTAATTGATGATTGAAAAATGACGATTATGATGACCTGAAAAACAGCGATTATTTAGAAATATTTTAGATCCCCAACCTCCTCCTTAGCCCCCCTCCCCCCCCCTCGGTCCTTCTTTCCTCCCTCCTTCCTCTCTTCTTCCCTCCTCCCTCTCCTTCCTCTTCCCTCTTCCCTCGTTCCTTCCTTTCTTCTCCCTTCTCCTTTCTCTCTCCTTCCCCTTCCCTCTGAAATGTATATTCGCTTTAAACAGGTCACGTGGTTCTAAAATGCTTGGTTATAATATTAAACTTTAAACTCATAGATGATCACAAGTGTATTCTTGCAATCAACATAAACAGATATATCTATTTTTGGTCCATTCTGTCTGAACATTCCGCAAGAGGATTTTAACTAATGTATCCTATTTCAAGATTGTTGTTGATGTTTTAATTTTTTTTTTCCTTTTTTTCTAAAATCAGAATTACTTGCAATAATCCCGCAACACGACATTTCAATAAGGGATTGATAAATTGCGCGGGGAGTTAAACTGAATCCTCGGCGACAAGCTCAAACGAACCTAAACTGCGGCAAACGAACCCAAACAACACCCCCCCCACCCCCCCACCCCTCCGCACCCCACCAAACAACAGTTGGCAGCACACTTAGCTATTAACACCGCTGTCACTTTTGCATAAAGGAATTACCACCAACACGGGGTTGTTTTTTGTTTTTGTTTTTTTTATGCTACAGAGAGT